GTATCCATTTTATGATTTGATACATCTGTTAGTGTATCCAGCGTAATGTAATGTAATAGTCGTTGTTTTATTGTAAAATATTTTGCACAGTTTTGCGCTCTGTCGGCCTGACTGCTGTCCAAGGCGATGCCCGCCCTATCCCTCCGGCTCCACGTGCCGGGCATCGGACAACAGGGAGGCGCCCGCTGCTGATGTGACCGCTCTGACAGGCCGCCGGGTCTGATCACCCGGAGGCTGTGGGCCACTCAATTGTGCTCATACCACACCGGTCTCCGGACTGCGGTTAACGCTCACAGCTTGCACCATCCTGGCTGAGAGAGGGATATACAGTATACCTATATAGACGGTCTGTAGACGGTCATAGTGTCAAGTAGACGCTGCCTGGCTGAGAGTGGGATATAATACACTATAAATAAGCACAAACGGTGGTGATTGATGGGATGGGGCCAATCAGTCTGCGAACATACTACACGATGTCCTGGCCGGGAGAAGAATGCATTATAACGGTAATCGTAAGTGGTATACGATATCCGGTCATGATATAAACGGTAAACGCTGACACTAGTGCTACACTGTCGATTTTGCCGGAACGACTGTGATTTGTCGGGTCTGTCAGTCTCCGAACAATAATAATGCATCAGACGTTCGGACGTATGAAGCACCGTCTACCTCGCATTTCCATGTTGAACGGAATAGTATCTCAGTCAATACGCTAACCGACAAACGTTTTAAACCAAAAATACGTTATAATCTAACTGTATGGCAAAACTAAAACCGATGCGACATCCCGACTATAGTCAGGACGGCTCGGGTTACGAGTGGGCGGGCTGAGTTTGCCACCCGGTCCCTGAACGGGCCAGGCGCCGCGGCGCTCGCTGCCCGGGCCAGCGCACACTGGGCCGATCGCCAGGTCTAGCACGACATGGGTAAAAAAATCGAACTTTGTGGATGTGCAATGAAACCTATACCAATTTGTTCAAAAATGATCATACTACATTGCTGTGGTATTTATTTTCCAACACAATTGCTATTTCATGGCGAAAACTCAGCTTAAACACGAACTTCGGAATCGTTTGGACCGAACTCGTCCCCCGCACTCTTCGACAACGTATCTTTGATCCACGAAAACAATCACAATTTGAGGAGGAATTCCACATTTATATACATCAAACGATAGCTCCGGGTCTGCAGAATACACATAACCACATGAAAATGGCGAACTCTTACTTGGTTATGATGTATTGGCACCGCAAAGATTTAAAGACGAAAATATAATTTCACATAATTGATGTCACGCACAAATAGGGTAAGGTGCCTAATTAGCGACCCCCTTAATTTGAACCGTCATTGCTCACGCTCTGTGGGTGCCACTGTATTACTGGCTTGATTTTCGGAGAGGTCGTTCATTTTTCTTTTAAAATATAGTCATTTTCTGCCCCAATATTCACTAATTTATTTGTAGTGAGCATTTTAGCAAACCATTGCAAAAAACGCTAATAGGGAACTCTTCCCGATTAGCGACCGGGGAGGGTCGCTAATAAGTCTATGGGTTTCCCCATATTAAAAATGGCAAAAAATGCGACGCCTGAAAAGATGAAATATTATCCAAAAAAGGTAACCTATACGCAAAGCACTCAATCACTCGAACAGGAACGTTTATCCAACACATTTATGTAAGTAAAAACTGATCACGTGATACACTGAAGGCGAAAAGAAGGCGGAAACCCAGATTTTGCGGGCTCTCTCGTATGATATTCGAGGTCCGCGCTGAATTCGGCACCCCTGCAGTCGGTGACGACATTTGACATCCCCTGCCACACATTGCAAGCTTCAGCAACACCTCATTTTCATTTCTCTCTTTTCCCCTTTCTTTCCCTTCTTGAGCTATTTGCGACCATGTCAGGCGCAAATAGGAAATATGAGTTGCGACACATTTTTAACCGCCATGCTGTGCACAGTTAAGCGATTCACTATGGGAAAACGGCAATCAATTGAAAAAGGAATGTCGATTCAGAATAAAAAAGGTGCATCATCCTAATGTGCATCGCTTTTCATCATAGAGGGCCCAAACACACACGTTTTGGATAAGAAACTCGTCATTTTCATTTAAACTCACCTGAAACGTCCCACCAGAAACATCGACAACCGTAAAGTAATTAAATTTGATAACCAAAGTATGGCTAACCTTTTGACGATGTTTTTACCCTGTTTTCTCCCGCCAGTTTTTCTGTAGGGAGGTAGGTCGCAAATCGGAAAGGGTCGCTAATTAGGCACCTTACCCTAGACTTTTAAAAAAAGTACCGCAGAGTACCGCTTCGAAAATCTCGCTACATGTCAATGATTCATTGCACTACAAGATCCAACAGTCATTTTTTGCGACTTTTTGCGACTTTGGATGTAGCAGCCAAACATCAACCCGCGCCGGACCGGTGCTCGGCGTCAAACGCGCCGGGCCGGGAGGTGTTGAAATTGAACACTCCCCTTCTAACTCGGCTCTTGGGCCACATAGCGATACGTAGTAAGTGGCATTCGAAAGAGCGCCCGAAATTCCAGATGGAGTAATTAGTCATTTCTGGGTCAGGTCAAAGGTCACGTCACCAGAGGTCATCAAAGGTAAAATGTCGCATATATCAACATTTCTCGAAAACCGGCCCTTACCTCGGGGACCAATAGAGCTACATCGTCGCGGAAAAGTGCATTCAATTGCTCTTTTAGCGGTCTTTCTGAAATAAACCCTCAGATTTGGCTTAACCCTCGCCCCTAGTGGTGTTTTTCCAGCCACGAACGTATAGAAGGGGTCCGTTGGACCCGCCGGCCGTTTCGCCCCTGATCGAGCTAGAGCTTCGCGGAAAAGACGAGCGTGTTGCCCGTGACAAGAGGAAGCTGATGATACCCAATTGTAAGGTCCTAGGTCATCGGTTGACCTTCCAGGTCAGGTCAATGACCCAAAAGTCGGGAAAATCGGGACCTGTTAGAACGTCGTAAAGGGTGGCTGCTATGGGTTTTTTGGGTGCTGATCACGAATATAATGTTATTTACGATCATAGATGATGTCTTCATACATTTAGGCCAGGTCGGGTCAGGTCAGGTCAGGTCAACCAGTAAGGGTTTTGCCGGGTATTTGCAGTAGGTGGCAACCGCCTCTGACAGCTTTGTAACATGTTACGAAGGCATCAAAGCTACATAGTAAATGTTCAAATGGTTGCTAGATTCGAATTCAGCTCCAAAAACTAGCCTAGAAACATGTAAAACTCGAAAAAGTGAACCAAGATCATCAAAGGTCAATGACCTTACCTGACCTTCTGGTGACCTTGACACCCACCCTAGCGCATGGGAGCAACATAATATCCCATGTTTGAACGCTTTAAACCAAGAAAAGACTGCAAACCCGCGGCTAATGCGAGCCGACATACGCTGAATCGCGATTCCGGCCAAACATGGTCTCGAAAGAAGGTCGCAGGTCAAAGATCATTAAGGTCAGGGTCATGAAATTTTCAGGTTAGCTGTAAAAGTAGTTATCGCGAGGGTACTGAAAGTTGCGTTGCGATCGGCCGCTTTTTACGCGAATTACTCGCGAAAAACCAAGGGTTCCGTTCAAAGATTCAGGCCCTGTCGCGCTAGAATGGCATATCGGCCCACTGTGCAGCGGACCGCCTGGGGCGCGGACCGCCGCCCCCGGGCGACAGCCCAGCGGGCTAGCCTACCTCCCGGGGGAGACGTGCAGGTCAGCTGGCTGACCTTGACCGGCCGGTCGGCAACAGCCGCGGGGCAGACGGGCAGACGGAAAGGGTCGCGAGCGGACGGGCGGCGGCCACGTGGCGGCTGCCCTGACGCGACCACATGACTGTCAGGTCGGGGTTAGTCTGGGCTGGGCCGCGGGCGCGCCACATGGCTGAGCCAGGGCGAGGCTGGTAGCATGTCGATACGTCTTTGCTGTTGCGTCGACACTCAACGATGGCTTCATTGAGCAGTTGATTGTTGGATTAATACGCACTCTACGAAGCATCAGCATGCATTTACCTTTTTATGTAAGCTATCGTTCACTGAGCCATTCAAGTCAGTTCAGCCTAATTGTGTGTAACACAGAGAAAACAGTTTTTAAAGATGAGCAATGTTGGATCCGGAACTAAGCGCCTCTCCGAAGACAAAAAGCAGACTACGCCATTGCGCAGCTGAGGTCAGCCATGGCGGCTACGTAAAATCAGCGTAGCATAGCTCTCATATTTGGCTTTTGACAGCAAATTAGTGCGTTATGGTCAAATGTGAATAGAGTAAAAACGGTGCCGCTGCAAGAAACTCGTTGAAGATTATTCGTCGGCCTATTTCCTTTTTTATTCCTTGTTTGACATTTCCATCAATATGCTCTCATTTCAATGCAAATTGCCGTCACGTGTGTTATAAACTGCGTAAAATAACGTGCTATTTATTTTTTGGCAGCAAATTAGTCACCATCGTAAATGTGAACACGACTGACGCATGTCTGTATACAAATCAATTTCAAACGGTGCCGCTGCGAGAAAACCGTTGGCCGTGGAATCTTAGGTAGGCATGAATTTAATACTTTACTTCGCTGTATGATAACCATTCCTCACTCGTCTATTAGGTGAAAATGATAAATTGAAATCTGTTTCTCGTGTTTCGGTCCACTGGGTTTCAGTTCAAGTTCGGATACCGGAACCTTAACCGTCCGAACATTTCAATTTTACGTCACGGGTCATTTTGAATTCTGTGGATTAGTGCTCAAGTTCTTGCTATTATACTGTTTGTTTTCTGTCCAGAATATTCTTTCGTGGAATAGTTTTTAAATATATGTGCAGGGATACCAACTGAATATTTGGCATGGTTTCTTATTGTGTTGCAGAGATTTTCTTTTGTAAGTGAACTGAACATTTATGTATGAATGTTGGGAATAATGACCCAAACTACGAGATAATACATCATTATTCAATAAGTATCTTTCAAAAATCATTTGATGTGTTGATTTGACGACAGGCTGTGACCAGACCGCAAAGCATGGCTAACACCGTCAATGAGACACACCAGCTAGTTTGACCAATCCACACCAGCCTGCACCAAGCAGGCTGGAAATTTGCACCTTCTGCACCAAAAAAATCCTTGAACTTTTGCTACAGAGTTTATAAGTTTGCTTTTACAAGACAAGATGGCAATGAAAAGTCCATTTTGCCTTGGCCAACCTTGTTAGCATTGTGTCTCCTATTGTGTCTCCATCATTTCTTCAGACAATGCTGCAACAGCACAGCATTTCAGCATGGTACTTCTAAAAGTGTGCACTGACTGATGCAAATTCTACACCACTGTGGTAAATTCGCACTGCACCTTGCACTGACAAGTCAAGAACATCATTTATCAGTGGCATTGCAATTACTAAAATGAAGATGACTGATAAGGTACTGAAATAAGTATTTGAAAACTAGAGGAACAGGAAATAAAAAAAATTGTCTTGGCTGCATATTCTGAATTTATCACATCAGTAGGCGGAACTATGGTCAAGCGTACCCATTTTCGGGAACGCATTTTCGTTCCCATGTTTGGGAACGATAAACCCAAATATGGGAACGCCATGTAGGCATTATTTAAAACAAGAAAAAGAACTGTTAAATGACGTCCAAAAAATATAAAACGATCGTGAACCGCCTGATAGTTGTCTCAATATTGTTGGGAAAGAGTTTGATATTGTAAGGCCCATCGTAGTTTCAAATCGTTCCCCTATTTCTAAAGCAGTCCATCACCCGGGCCGCGAGCCCAAATTTGGGAACGCTCTCGTACACTGGCGCTGCAAGCGTTCCTTATTATGGGAACGGCGTACCCAAAATTGGGAACGATTTCACCGACGCCTTTCAGGGGCTCTTTTCATTAACAAGCATCACGTCCAACGCCGCAAATTATTGTTAACGCAACAATCATCAGATGACCTTTCCGGCAAGACCGTTGCATGTTTCGCCCGGTCTTCTGCGCTTTTATTCCCGTCGATCTCGCAGCGGGCACGCCCCCCTCTGCAGGATTACGTAATCCACAACGCTCAGCGATGTTCAACAAGGTCTTCCATACCTATATCCACCGTCCGCGCCGAGGGTGGAGACATGTCAAGCACCTGTCTGCTAATCACCGAGAGTTGACGAGCACAAGAAGTATCCAAAAATGGGAACGCTGAATATGTTACACCCTCAAAACACCTAGTCCCAATGAAAATCTAGTTTTTTCCTTTCTTAATGAGTGTAAGTGGCAAAAGGCCTGGTAGGATGGGCACGAGGTATGATCGAAATCAGCATAAAAATTATAAATAAGCCACACAGAGCGACCTATATCAGAGAAATTCCCCCCAAACGATCATGCTTAGAAACGCCGAAGACAAAAACCACGCTCATGACGCTGCTTATAAAACAACGCTAAACAGCTAGCATCCAAATAAAATATGTCTTTCAGGGCTGATAAAATACAGCTGAATGATTTTAAACCACTGAAACTGAGTTTACAACAGTAGTTCGGTAAAATCACTGACGTTCCACGCGGTCGATCGCCCCGACACCAAAAGTCAACAATATTACCTCGGGACTGTCCGCGTGTTCGCTTGCATATGTCAGCATCTGGTGTCGCTAGAATGAAACTTCATAACCAGGCGAAAATTATTATACTTGACTTCAAAATGTAAAAAATGCTTCATTTTCCTTAAAATTGCATGTTAAATGTCGTATAACCCATATTTCCACCATTCTGTCATTTTTAAAAAATCATTAAAAATATCATTCCACGGTCAATTTCCTTGTTCCACGGTCAGATTAAAGATAACTTTATGGAGATTTAGTAGATACTTAAATCAGCGTGCACTTTTTTGAGACGTGATGCACTTTTGAGTTTTAGTGGGCGAACGGCCGAAAAATTGCCTTCCGTTCTCATAAATGGGAACGCCCGTTCCCATATTTGGGAACTCCGTTCCCAAAAATGGGAACGTTCCTATATTTGGGTACTCATGACCATAGTTCCGCCTACTGACATGGAAGTTTTAAAACATTCCTGAACATTAGATAGATGCTGAGGAACAGGTAGCTACCTAGTACCTACCATGAAAAACAGGCATTATGAAATAGGCACCTAATTTTCTGACTCCTGTGTGCAAATTACTGGAGAGCTCAGGGTGAAAGCAAATAATTGATAAGGAAAGTTATCTATAAAAAGCTGTCTGCAATGCTAATGCTTGAAACAGTTTGTGAATGTTGTCAACCATACAAACAAGCTTCAACCCAAGTCAAGGTGGTGGTCTGATCATTAGCTACATCTATGCAGTGATGTAAAAACACCCTCCCTAATCTGCCTCCTGGGCCATGTAGCAACACTCAGAACTTGCCAAATAACTTTTTGACTTATTTGCTTTTAGATTTGCTCATCGGTCAGTGACTTGGCCTTGTGAGGGTAAAATTGCCCCCCCCCCCCAAAAAAAAAAAACGATTATAAAGGTTTATTAGCACATTTTTCATTACCGTAAAGTGGGGCTATTTGAAACGGATTTTACAGTTTTTGGCCTCTCCCTTCAAAATGGTTGATATTTCCTATACCATGTAAATTGCAAAAACGTAGTCCTCTGTAACCGCTTTCAGATAGGTCCGTTTTGGTTCAGCTAGTAGCCGTAAATAAAGTTATTTTTCTAATTGAAGCCTGTCTCAAATAGCCCCATAGTGTGGGGCTATTTGAGACAGTTTTGGTTGCAAGAAAATTAAAGAAAATTGGTCAAGCTAGGGATAATTCTTTAAATTCCATGCGATTGGAAATTAAATTTTGCTACCTTTGGCATAAAGTATTTCTTTCAACTGCAGTTATATAACCCCTACAATCAAACTTTTCGTTTTTTGTTGGACATAGCATTTCGGTCTGATAAAAATTGCATTACTTTATGCTAGGGCTGTCATAATATGACGTGACCATAAGCTTCAAAAATCACAGAAGATGATTATATAGGACCATTTCTAAGTCAACGACCGTGAAATTTTCAAATAAAGTTCTTGTGTTTATCTCTGGCGGCGTAAAACATATAGGCCGAAAGTTGGTGGGGCTATTTGAGACAGGCTCGCTACTGCATTAAACACACCGTAATGCATTAAACAAGGGAAAACAGTATTCAAAATGGTTTAATGAATGGTATTCATGATCGATCGTTCCATTGCACATCAACATGTGAAGAAATAACAGAAAAAGGTCAAACGGTTTTGATTTTATACCGATTTTCCTAAAACACTGCATGCTGTATCGAATGGCCGTTTACCGCACTGCATCAAGTACGTATACTGACTGTCTGAAGGCTCACCTAACAGTACGTATGTATGATAAATAACCTTCAATGGTGCCTTCTGGTCAACCAGAGTAGACATGGGCCGATTACCGACCACGTCAGTGACTAATGAAGCACATTTTATGCACATATTCACAGAGGTAAGTAATATCGTCACAAATTGGAAGGTCACATTGAGCTACGATGTGTAAGCATTGCTTGCTGCTAAAAGTATCATGAACCCATGGCCGATTCACCGGTGTTTCTTAGGTCGAACGTTTGATACACTTTAGGCAGATGGCGGTAAGTCTTTTCGGATGCATCATATCACTTATTTTTAGGGCCTTGGCATCACAAACATCAGCTGTATTTGGCATACGTTGAGGTTTGACGAGGTGGGTATCATCGGGATTCTGAGACATTTGGTTACACAATCGTCGCTACCGTTAACAATATATAATGTCTTCATGAAAAATGTGCTTAGCCCATAAGTAAAACGATAGTTACGATAGATTCGGCTGCAAAGTTTTCAAAACTTCAACCACGTTAACCCGCGCCCTGCTGGGGGGGGGGGGGGTGTTTGAACACCCCCCCCCTTGTGGTTTTTCGCGAATATCTCAAAAACGTCCGCGCCGCCGTTTTTGGTACACCTTATCATACATCAATTCTACACATATTGTGAAAATTTCAGACCAAGGTCATTCAAGGTCAGGTCACCAGGTCACTTGAAGTGACCTCACCTCATAAAATGTTTCAATGTCTGTCATAGCTACACCGAGTGACCGATCGCTTTGAAACTTTCAGCGATTGCTAAGAGCAATAGTATGTACAAAATGTATATCTCAGAATTTTGATATCAATGACCTAAGGTCAGGTCAATTTTGCGACCTCCCCATTATAAGTCAATGGGAGAAAATTGAAATGCGCCTCTTTTGGACGAAAGACATTATAAACACTCCCAAACACTGAATTACAAGTGGTTTAGACACACTGAACATGAAAATGGTGTCCGTGACCCCTGTTTATGCCCTGAGGTCATCTTAGGTCACGAATGGTATCTAACAGTTTTTCGCAAATAACTTTTGATAGAGGCATGCTAGAGCGATGAAAACGCCTTAGATGTGTTCAGCTCGACGATACGGATCGACTGATATGCAACATGACCCTTTCCGGTCAGGTCATGACCTTGACCTGAGGTCAAATTTTCAAGTTGACCTTTCAAGGTCAAGTTATAGTTCATTCGATGCTTCTTGACGAGAGGAACACGATGCCGGTAAAAGTAAGCTCGTACAAGGCTTGGGTCAAAAGTTATTGCAGAAAAACTGTTTCCGAAAAAAATCGGCTATTTTTGCAGTTTTTGCCCCCTGCAGGCAAAACCGTTGACGTTAGGTCAAATCTGAGAAAATTACTCAGAAAGGGCGTTAATAGGGCTATCGAATGCGCTTTTCCGCGGCGCTGTAGCTCTATTGGTTCCCGAGTTATGCGTTGCCTTCTTGGAAATTTCCGACATTCGACCTGGAAATCGGCGAAATTTTGCCTTCAATGACCTCTGGTGACCTGACCTTTGACCTGACCAAAAAATTGACCGAAGTGATTTCCTCATTACTTTTGACGCTCTTTCGAACGCCGCCTTCCGCGTATCTCTACGTGGCCCAGGAGCCGAGTTAGAAGGGGGGTGTTCAAACACCCCCCCCCCCCCCAGCAGGGCGTGGAAATCCAGGACCCCCAGCCGGGCGCGGGTTAAGGTGCAGGTAGGGGTGCTTTTCTTATAACTTAAATTGTGTTTTTTCGTATTTCTCGTTTAATGCCAAAGTTCTTTCAAAACTTTTCAAATTTTTCAAAAAATCCTATCCATGGAATGCGTCGTTCAATTCCACATCAGCCTGAGCAAAAATTGATAAAAAATATCAAACGGTTTTAATTTTACAGCAGTTTTACTAAACCACTACCGTGCTGTCTCAAATAGCCCCACTGTCTCAAATAGCCCCACTTTACGGTATTCTTGTGGCACAAAGCTTTTGGCAATACTGCTTTGACCAGCATCACGTTTTTTTTCTCGTGGAAACTCTTCGAAATTCGAACGATAAATTGGACCCGCGGTCAAGCCATCACGTTGCAATCATTCGATCTGAGCTGAACACATCCAAGATGTTTTCATCGCTCTAGCTGTACGTCGTCGTATGTCTAGTACTAGTTGCACCTCCCGATTTAACCGGTCTCTCTCCGCGGCAGGCAGCTGAAGACGATGGTGGTTCGGAAACCGGAGCGGCGACTGGCCGGCGGCGCCCTCAACAAGACGCTGACGCCGCAGGAGCTGTCCGACTGTGACGACATCGCCACGGCGCTCACCATCGACCCCTACCTGGGTTTCATCACGCACAAAATGTGCACCACGTGAGTCACCGGAGGGTATACCGGGCGGTATAGTTTGGAGCTCAGATGGGTGTGCGGTGTGCAAGCAACTGGGGCACTGTAATAAAGATATTATTTAACATTTATAGTTATGCTATCTAAAAAAAAAAATATGATTCATACGATAAATTTCACTCCTTTCGGATTGATATAGGATTCAGGAGGCCGATGGAACTCACGTAACGTTCCCTTTCTCAGGTACCAGCCGCCGCGGCTCAACACCAGCGAGCTGCGCACCATCATCGACGCGTTCTGCAGCGACCAGGACTATCAGCTCGCGCACAAGCGGCTGTTCCGGTCGAACGCGCTGCAGCAGCTGCTGGCCTTCTACAACCACCGCGTCAACATGGACGACCTCAGAGAACATGTGCGTACTGAGCCGATGTGACGACTAATCGTCTGTGCCGTCAGTTATATACCTACATTTGTCTGACGGAACTGTAATAAGTGCCTTCGTGCTGTCTTTTGTTTGGCTAAATCACCTCTTTTGAATTTAACAGCTACGGATCGACATGGAATGTAAGAAAAATCGGCATGTTTCGGACTGCTCAGAATGGTGCCTGCCTGCAGACGAGGCATGGTTCTGTACGGGTAGACACATTTGGGCTATAGTGCTGCCATCTACAGCCGGAGTTTCGTATCGGTCGCGTCGTCCGGGAACCAAGCTTCTAGAACCCTCTTCCTACAGTGAAAACGGCATTACATATTATGTGCCCTATGTTTTCATCTATCTTTCGTTCTTACGCCACCAATAACTGAAATGTTTTTGGTGCCTTCAGGTGCTCAAGTTTCTGGCGGTGCTGAGCGAAGACTCGGGCGTGGCCCTGGAGGTTTGCACCCGGTACTCAATGGAGGACAACGCCGGCGCGCGGGTCTGCGCCACACGACCCTGGTCAGTAGAATATGACGTGTTTTGTCCCCATCCTAGCCATTGAAGCACATGTCACGGTGGCTGTTCGGTGTTCACGTCATATGGTGCAGGATTTGTTTCTACCGTGAGTGCACGTGGTAGCAGGCCTTTTTATGAAATTGGGCATGTTCTGTTCACTGTCAGGAGTCGAAACAAGGAGATCCAGTACCTGGTGGGCTGTATCGCGGAGCTCTCCGAGGAGGAGGAGAACCACTTCCTTCAGCCGGGGAAGAACGACTTCAGCGTCATGTTCAGCACCAGGAAAAAGTGCGGTCAGCTGTGGCTGGGACCGGCCGCCTTCATCAACCACGACTGCAACGCCAACTGCACGGTGAGTTGGGTAGAAACCGCATCCTGTCGGCAGTGAATGGGTTCGGCTTATGTGTATCTTCATTGGATGCGGATTTTAATAGTAGTTCCTCCATGCATGGCTCAGTGATTGAAAGCATCCGTGAAATCCTCTGTTCCTACTTCCTACTTCCTCACTTATGACTTAATCGATATCTGAGTGTGTTTACTCTGAGTCTGGCCGTTAGCTGACCAATTTGTCTCATCTGCTTTATCTGGCCGATATTTGACCTCGTGTAATCTGAACCGATATGTGATCATATGTGACTTGCTGTAACCTGCCTGGCGTATCTTTTGTGACCGGCTTTTGATAGTTGAAAGTTGTTCGTTTTTGAACTGTTAACATGCCGTATCTGTTTGATGGCTAAATCGTGTGCCACCTTTCATTCGCTTGAATAACTTCGTCTGTGCCTTTACTATTCTCGCTTTGTCTGACGTTTGACTGTATATAAGAAGCCTGTTCCTCTTCCGGCCGGTTGCTGGCATTGTGTATGATAATATCGTCTCCCTGTGTTTCCGATGACTGACCGCTGATGTCTCTGTGCCCGTCAGTTTGTGGCCACCGGCCGCAACACGGCCACGGTCCGTACCGTCCGCGAGATCAAACTCGGCGAGGAGATCACCTGCTTCTACGGCAGCGACTTCTTCGGCGACAACAACTGCTACTGCGAGTGCGAAACGTGCGAGAGGTGAGCAATGATTGGCCTTGTAGAACTGGACCAGCATTAACCCGCGCGGGGCTGGGGGGGGGGTAAATTTTACCCCCCCTCGCGAATTTTTGCGATATCTCAAAAACGGCGGCGCGCAGCGCCGCCAAACTTTCAGTACCTTTTCTTACATCAATTTGACACGTTCCCTGAAAATTTGAGCGAAATCCGTCGGAAAATTTTTGAGAAATTGACGTTTTAGTGACGTCATGTTCGCCATTTTCGCCTCAAAACCGGCAAAAGTTCAAACGCCGCTAACATCTTCATTTTTAAAGGAATCAAGACGTAACAAAAAAGGTTATACGTAATTTTACTTCGTCTATCAAATGGCTATCTCGGTTTTTTGAAAATTTTGGATTTTGGCCTAAATTTTTTAAAAAAACTGACTTTTTTGGGAAAATCATTATAAAATCCAAAATTTTGAGTCTATCGAAAAAACCGGAATATATGTCAGAGAAGTGGTCTATGTGCACCTACATACCAAATTTTAGAAGAATCGGTTCAAAAATGTGGGAGTTATTCAAAATTTTATGACGTCACGACACACAAAATTTTTGAAAAATGACTTTTTTGGAAGTTCTAGACCACGTACGGAAACGAAAATAGCACCATTCGATTCGCCGTGAAAAACTGCATCAGATAGACACCTTTTTAGACCTTAACAACCAACTTCAAAATTTGACCTCACTTGACCTGACCTTGACCTGACCTCGACCTGAAATTCATCCAGAGGTGGTCCATATCACTTATTGAGTGTGCCTATTGAATTCTATGAGTAAAATGACCCATAAAACATGTGTCGCACATGCCCTTTTCTATATTTTGTTTTTTGGTGACCTGACCTGACCTGACCTGACCTTGACCTTGACCTCTGAATGATATTGTATGCAACGAATATTGTCTTGGTAGCCTAAGAACACGTTTTGGGCGATCAGTCTCAGTCTATGACTCCATTCTTCGGCAACTACGGTGCAAGGCCGATACTGTAGAAACCTGCAATTTGTACCCTTGACCTGACCTTGACCTTGACCTCAAACTTTAAATTAAGTACATGTTTTTAGTAGTTCGTGATGAGAGCTTTCGATTGGCGTTTGAATTTTCCAAATCGGACCATTAGTTCGGGAGATAACAGGGGGGGTAAAATTTACCCCCCCCAGCCCCGCGCGTTCGGCTGGAGACCCCAGCCCCGCGCGGGTTAAAGGAAGACTGCCACCTTCAAAAAGTTTTCTCAGATCGGCCTATGATTTATTCCCTGGACAAAACAAAATTTTAGAATTCACCTGACAAAGTATCATCACGTGAATCGCGAAAAAAAATTGTCGATTATCATACAATTATCAATCGGTTAATGTCTAGCGACAATGTTTACACATCACTAGACTTCAAGGTCATAAGATTTTTACATTTTATTTGAAAAAGTAAGGTATTTTATGATTTACTAATATATGATTTCATAAGAAATTGGCCATGTTTAATTTATTTTGCATTTAAGTTCGTAAAACATTTAAAAATCATGGCCCATTTGGAATGGGTCTGGCCCATGTTAAACCCCATTTCCCACACTTTTTTGGAAAAAATGAACTACTGAATATATAAGTTTAACTTTTATTTTGACACTCCAAAATTCTTCTCTGATCTCGAAACAATCAAAGTTTTGACATATATTTACCAAAAGATAAGAAAATTCATGTTTCAAAGTTATCGATAAACAGTAGAGATGTCGGTTTTCTTGGACTAAAAAAATGGCATCAAACTGAACTTTGGTCTCCGATTTCTCGTAAACGGGTTCGAATTTCGGAAAACCGACTTCAGTCTGGGACATAGGTGACTCAGCTCTAGTGAAAACCGTTTTGTGGAAAAAAGGTGGCAGTCTACCTTTAATGGTTATTTAGATGAAGTTACTAGGCTTGCATTTCCGTCAGAGTTACCGTTTACGGTATCATTTTTGTGTACATGAACTACCAACGATCTTTTTTTCAAATCGTAGATCATCATGCATAATTTCAGACTAACTAAAAGTCGCGATTTTCTCATCTGCTCTGTCCGTCTGTCACTCCCAGGCGGCAGATGGGAGCGTTCGCGCCGGCGGCGGGCTCGACACCCCCTTCGGACGGGTACCGGCTGCGCCACTCGAGTCGACGCCAGGAGGGCAGCACGTCACCGACGGGTGGCGACCGGCTCCAGGCCACCGTCCACCAGCTCCGACAGCGCGGCATGACGCGCTACGACGCGCGCATCATCGCCGAGCAGCGGCTGAGGCTGCGCGACCCGGAGCCCGCGGGCGGCCCGTGCACCCGGCCGCGCGCGCGCACCCGCCGCCTGCCGGCGCGGATCCGCGCCAGTCCGCAGTGCCCGCGGCCGCCACCCCGCCTGCTCCGGTACGAGCCAGACGAGCCAGCCGGCAGCAGTCCGTCCAGCGACGACAGCGCCTCTAGCGGCGACCTGCGCTACCAGCTGGTGCGGCTGGACGCCGGCAGCGGCGGCTGGCGGCGGCCGCGCCGCGTCACCAGCAAAAAGCCCCGCCGCCGGCTGCCCGTCGACTTCGACATCATCCAGGTGCTGGGCTGACGTCGCGCGTCGCCGCGGGCGCGGAAGGTCATTCCCTAGCCTCAGTACAACAATGGAATACCTCTGCCGCGCGGCCGCGCTGGCCGGGCGGGCCGCGCGGTCGTGTATACCTCCGCTGTGCATACCGCTGCTTTTGCAGACTGTGTTCAGACGTGCCGGGGAGGGCGCGCTTCCGGGTTGGTCCAGGGCTCTACTGGCGGCGGGGTGGCGCGACTCGGTGCCACCCCGCCGCTTCTCGGCAATTCGCGGTCCGCGCTCTCGTGCGCGCCTTGTTTCGTTCGCTGCGCGCGCGAGCTTGCCGCACGGTCGGTGAGCAAGTCTCCTATTGATCTCATCGTTTCGAGGGAGAGGCTGACTTGCTGTCGACGTGACATGGCTCCTGCGGACGTCCAGAGGTGTGCTCATAGTTGTACGCCATATGATCGAATAGAGTAGCCGCGCGTTTCTACCTGTTGTATAGTTTAGTAGATGATCTTGCTGCTGACTGGTTACCCGCTCGCAGACAATCACTTTGGCGAACAAATCACGCTCGAGGTCGGACCAGTATTTATTTTGGGTGTGAATGAGGTGTATGAAATCAGGTGAAATTCCAGTGAGGGATCAATATGAATGTCTTGCGAGGAATGGGTATTCGCATGTGTTTCAACGCTGGGAGGAGGGTCCTTCTTCAGGCACTCTGGTCTCGATCGCAGGTGGTCTTGCCTTTTCATGTTGACAACGTTCTCATTGCCTGAATTTCTGCTAGGTCTCTGCAAACGAGTTGTTTGGATAATAAAACTGTACATATGCAAATGGGTGTGTTCATTGAGCTGAGGAGCGTAAGTGCATGTTTATTCCGAACCTGCCTTTCGATGGTGTAATTTAGGCAGACAGCCATTGTCCTCCGACCCGTGATCACTTTTGAAGAACAGTGACGCTCGGCCCAGCCCGTATGTACATGAGACTGCTCAGCACAGCATACGTTTCACGGCCTGCCCACCCGCTGCGTCCGCCGTTTCCGTTGGTCTGCGGAAGACGCTTTGGGCTGTATTGAGGGGGGGGGGGAGGGGAGGAGGCACTAGGCCGACACCTCAGTGACGCCCGTCCTGGATTTCCTGGCTCCCCAGCGCGACCGCCGGTGCCATCAAAGATGGACGTGTCGGTGGCGATCACGCGATGGCGAGACTCGCACACTGGAGCGGTGACACGGGGAAGGCGTGCGGCCAGGGGCGCGGGAACTAAGTGTGACATTCCGTCTCAAAGCTGTGGGGGCACCCACGGCCCCAGAGTTGGGGGGGGGGGGGCAAGCTGCCCCCCCCCCCGGCTCCCGCGCCTATGCGTGCGGCAGACGGCGGGAAACGGCGTGAGTCATAGAAAACCGCGAGTGCGAGTGTGATGGTGACGAAGGCATCGCCTGGACGAGTGTCGTAAAGTAACTGCGATGATACGCACTCACGCTCTCGCAGCTGAATCGGTTAGCTGTCGCTGGATATTCCTGTTCGGACAACGTAACTTAACTGTTGCCGATTTTCATCCCTGACCAGTGGCCACTTCCAGTGCGATGATACTTCCATCCGCCCCGCCAACGTCTCAGTATGGGGAATCACAGCCGGAGTTTTCCACCCGAAAAATGCACCCAGGAAACAAAACGTTGCATGTAGGAAACTCGCACGGACGTGTAACGTATTCAGCAATTTTACCTGGGGCTGACATTCCCATGTCGTGTTCGCTCTTCGTCACTAATTTAGCAGGAAGATCGCAGAGATTCCCAGCCAGTTGCCGACTCGGACAAGGCATTCTGTTGGATCCAAGATGTCGCGGCCACTGCGACCACCCAAAACCGTCGCTTTCATGCGTATCTTAACAAAAAGCTCCATATTCATAGGAGGCAGCAAACAGAGCATTTGTCGATATCGAGCCCCTATCCTGCGTCGGTCCCGGTGCTGTAAACCTCCGCCCTCGACGACCCTGTCCCACAAGTCACATCTGTCCCCCAGGCTACAGCCCTCCCTAGCTTCCACCAATCGTCACCGATCCTACACGGCCCACACCACGGTCCACTCCTTTCCACCCCTCTCTGAAACACTGTGCTCACTGGTCCGTCTGGCTGTGTATTTTGTCCCCGCGTCCCCCCTCACTGAGGCATGCCCCGGCCGCGGCCGAAGCCGCCGCGGAACTCCATCTGGCCGGCACCCGCGCCAGCCTCGCCCTTCTTGTCGGGGCCGCCCTCGCCGACGCGCCGGTACGCGGCACGGTCGCCCTCCATCTTGCCGCCGTCGGGGCGGGGGGCGGCAGCGCGTGGCCGCGCCGTCTCGGCGCGCGTCGGCCGCTTCAGGGTGGCGGGCACGATCTGGGGGCGAGTGGGGGACAGCGGGTCAGATCGGGCGCCGAGGAGGCACAAACCGCGACTGTGAGCGGAGCTTTCAGATGTGAGTTGACTTCATTCGGATCAGTCCACTACTTTTCAAACATCATGTGTAAAACCAGCGGTTCCCCAGAAATGGACGCCAATGGAACGCAGGCACAGCAAATGAAATCTCCCAGAATTATTTCGTATCACACAGCCACACAACCCCAGCAGCCAGTCTGCCGTCGAGCGGCCGTCTGCGACCTCTCACCTCCGAGGGCAGGTGGAGGAAGTCGCGCAGGTAGGTGATGCCCTCGTTGGTCAGGGTCCAGTAGTAGTGGCGCCACGCGAACTGCTCACTCACGTAGCCGCGCGACTTCAGGCTCTATCGACACAACACCAAACCGTCAGACGGGCCTCGGGGGAGCGTTCAAGGGCGACATCTGCGCGGTACGATTGTCGAGTGTCGGTAGCGCCGGCCAGCGGGAGTCGTTACGAACACGACTCCCAATGGGTGCCGGCAGCAGCCGTAATTCTGTTCCAGGCTTTAATTATCGCCCCGTCGAGAATGCGACGAGCCGTACTCAACGCACTGGAAAAAGTATCGCTTACGGTACACAGACACACATTACCACCCAGAGAGGAAAGCCATGCCAACAGACGTTCAAACTTTGCACATGACGATGAGCAATGCTTTATGCATGAATCATTTTAGGTTTAACACTCGTCAATTACACCTAGAATCGTGTGAAAGAATGCAGTCTACATCACATACCTGGAGAGCCTTCATCACATATAGGTTGGGCACGGGCACGTTGGGATGCCTGGGCCGGTGGGGGTTCTTCTGGGCCACCATGACCCCCTCCTTGAAGAGGTACTCATAGATCTTCACACGGTCCTTCTTGGGCATCAACATCCTGCAAAAAAAACAATGTTAGTGAAACCAGAGAAGAAGCTACAATGTGCCTCTATTAAATTCATTGATAAATTTACACAGTATATAGGTGTGTGGGCCTGGACAGGCTTGCCACCAAATCTGCTTCATGGCAATGTGTCTAATGGTAAATTAGTGATAAATTGAGCTCAATTCAGCTGCTACGCAACCACAAATGCGGTGCATGAAATGCATGCACTAGGTACTGAAACGTAGGAAATTGAGCTGCTGAGTAAAATGGGGTGACAACTTGCTGCACCCCAAACTGGGCACTGTTCAGTCACCATTTTTGATCAGCAGGCTGAGGGCATCCCCCATTTCTTGGCTTGTTATTGGTCGAATTTAATAGTATGTGCGGTTGACTAATGTGAGTCTGAGATATGCCAGCGATGAACTTCCTTATATGGGAAAATTGGCAGCATGTCGATAAAAATCATGGCCGGACAAAGCTCTGAATCTGAAATATTTAGCTCACAATGAATATCAAATGTTATTAGCATTCAGAAATATTACCATACTCAAGACAGCACTAAGACAGCTCAATGCAAGTTCATAACACTTAATGACGTTATGAACTAATGTTATGAACTTAGTTAGTAAGTACCTAGTTTTTAACAAAACAAAATAGTGTGACTCTAAGCATACAAAAATCACCTGCAGTGCAGTGGATCTTTGCATGAGGCCAAGATCCAAAAATGGATCGGTCCATAAAGACTTTTGATGACCATATAATTATGGGCATAAATGCAGCCCTCGCTTCTAAGGATGAAAAATGGCATAACCTGCCGGTACTTGCAGTATCGCGTCCACTCATCGGGGAGAAAAGGCTTCCATTTTCTACTAGGAATTAATGCTATTTGATTAAATTTGACAAATTCACTCGAAAATGGCGATAAAAACAGCTTTTCTGCAGGTTCTAGGTGTCATAATCATCTGCCCATTCCATAAATGGATCGGTATTTTGAAAGGAAATTGTGATAAGATTTAATTTCATTACAATAAATCAAGATATTTAATTTCAAAATAATAATTTAACCACAATAAGAAAAGCCAGCTGCAAAATGATAAAAATAATGACATTTTTAAACCATGGTGGTGCTTACATTTTTTGGCACGTCTGTTTCAATCCGCCATATTTGTCAATCACCATTTGACCTTGTAATGTAACTGTGATTTAGAGCCGCCAGTGCATTGTGCACCAAAAGTAGGACGCCGGTGAAAACAGGGCGCCGGAGGGCATATTAGTCACGTGACATTTGGAACTTTTCCCACTCTATGGGCCTTCTATATCCCAACCGTCACGTGTAAATTTAACGAACCTTGATCAAAAATCGCCCCAGGCGCCCTGTTTTCACCGTCGTCCCAAAAGTAGGCCTTGTGTGGTTAAAAACATTGACTTTTTTCATTTGAATGCTAGGATGCGTGGAAAAGATGAAGTTTTCTGATTTTCTGACTATATATGGTCACTGCCCAGCCCACTCCGGCCATTGATTGGCTGATCAATTTTTGGATCTTTGCCTTGTACAGTTTCCCCAACTGAAGGCGTTTAAGTTTAAATATAATGAGGATGAAAATGGCGCCTTGACGCATGCCTTTTAAAATGTATCATGTTCAAATAAAAATGTTGAAACATTGGCGGTGTTTCACGGCTGCTGCTACCACGCTGTTATCAAATTGCGCGAGCTGACGTCACACTTGTGGTAGTGTTGGAGCAATGGGCCTGTTGATGTCTCCATGGAAACCCAATTTGACAAGTCGTAAAATCGGCGTGCTGCTATCACCGGTGAAACAGGGCCATTGTGTTGGCATCAACCTATACACTTCTAAGAAGAATAGGCATGCATCAATGAAGGAATCGCAAGCCACATTTGCCACAAACCAACACGCGTCCTTGTGCAAGTTTTAGGCTTAACGGGGTGCAAAATAAATATTAGGAAAAGAACACAGTCTAGTAACATCAGCGAAATTGTATGAATTACAAAGAAGTGAGAAATAATTGACAATAAATAAATAATAGCAATAGCATCTTACTTGGAAACGCTTGCGCCACAAAGGTACGCAGGAAAGAGGGCGCTACTTGTTTCCGCTCTGATATTCAGTCAAGGTTACGATATTGAGCGACCATGGCTACTCGAAGTTTGTTGTGAAATGACGTCAAATAATACAATGTCTTTTTAGTTCTACTATACGGTTTTCTTAAGAAAAAATTGAATTTAAAAACATTTATTTATTGAAATAAGGATGTTTTTCAAAAGTTTAATTGGAAATCAACAAAAAGAAAATTAACCGATACCGTAACGCAAAACGCAATATTGGTAGGTAAAAACAAGAAATATTTTTTTATAAACCGTGCAAAAATACAAATATATTACTTTGTCATAGCCGGCCCCCGCCGAAGTTAGTGGTAGCACTGCTGCTCGACGGCGTACTACCAGCCCATAGGGTTTACATGTTAAATGGCCTGTTTTCGGCGAGCGATATCTCGGTCAACCTTTGAAGGAATCAATGGTTCTTAGTCTCAAATGATAGATCGATGAATTTTCTTTCGACAATTCCTCTACCATTTTTCACGATACCCAGCCGATCTTCTACGGCGTACAGGGTAAAGATTTCTCTGCACGCCAGCACCCGCGATCCGCCTCTCCGATCGGCGGCGCGCGGTCCTCGGTAGCGCAGTCGGTAGCGAATCGGGCTACGGATCCGAGGGTCGTGAGTTCGAATCCTGGGAGCGCCGCGTGATTTTGGCTAGAATTGAATGATGTAGATTCTTGAATGTTTGCATAATCAATTATTAATAGCTAATTGAATGTATCTGCCCACTAATCGGCCCCTAAAACCTGTTATTTAAGGAATTTAAGAAATGAATGTCACGTGCGCGTCACGCTCACGACTGTTAACCATTAGCGCTACCATATTAATACCACAGGATAAGAGAAGGCAAACGATTCACATTTCATCCTTCATCCCCCCCCCCCAAGTAAGCGCCCCACCCCTCCCAAGTTGGGGCGGGGTTATACGCGCCCATGGGCTACCTATCATATTCCGCCCCAGTAAACATGCCGACGTCGGCCCGGGCCGAGGCTCGGCCCGACGTCGGCCCAACGTCGGTTCAACCTCGGCCCGACATCGGCTGGACGTCGGATATGCCCGCATGTTCCGACTTCCAGCCGAAGTCCAGCCGACGTCGAGCCGACGTCGGGCCGAGGTCGTTTGCCGAGGTTGACGAGATCGTTTGTCGTTGGACCGACGGGGCCGACGTCGGCATGTTTATTGGGACAACGCGCCAAAAATATCAACCGGCGGCGGGATTCGAGCCCCCCAGTCGCCGACGTCGGCATGTTTACTGGGACAACACGCCAAAAGCATCAGCCGGCGATGGGATTCGAACCTCGTGTCATTAGAACGCGAGGTTAGTGCGCTAACCACTACACCACGCAGCCAAATAGCGAATTCTGTTTGTTTTGTTGTGTTCTTCCCTTTCGGTCTGACAAGACCATTTCAGAGCCGGAAGGATGATAGGATGGAGACATTGGTCTTCTTGGCGAGCACCCTGGGTCCAGTTCATATAGAGTCCCTGGTCCCATTGCTGTTACGTGACACTTATTGGAAAGGGCGACCCCACAATGGATTCATATAGCCACTCTTACACACCGTCCTGCACCAACGTTTCCCAAAGTGTCCCTTTGATAAGTGGCATTTTGGCAAAGTGACACTTGCCGACTGGCCTTTCTATATGAACTGGGCCCGGCCCTGGTGAGTTACCGGGGCTGAGCCTGACCAAAGGATAGGCCGAGCAGCCCCCAAGCACTCACCGCACCCGGCTGCGGGCGAGCTCGGCTTACGGGCAATCCCAAATGGGATAAAGTTTCCCGTCCAGTCCGGATCAGGGGGTTGCGGCGTGGAGGAAGATTTGAGTTTACTGAGGATATTTTGAATACAGAAGCTCTTTATGAAACATGAAACATGCATTTTATATTATTTTAACGGCCAAAATAGCGGCCGATGTCGGTCCGACGTCGCCCCGACGTCGGCCCGACGTCGGCTGGACCTCAACAATTTATCTCGGTCCGACGTCGGCCCGACGTCGGCTGGACCTCGGCTGGACGTCGGTACATGCGGGCATATCCGACATTCAGCCGACGTCGTGCCGAGGTTGGACCGACGTCGGGCCGACGTCGGCATACCGATGCCAAGTTGCCGACGTCACCCCGACGTCGGCCGACGTCGGGCCGACGTCGGCATGTTTACTGGGGCCCTTACCCCCAAGGTAGCTGCTGCCCGCCCTTCTCGAGCTGGACCGGGTGGACTAACCTAGGCTACCTATCCTGACCTTTCCTTCCGAGAACGTATCACATTTCGGTACCCTCTTTTCTCATTTACATAATTGTATTGTATTGTATTGACGGAGGCAGACAACTCCACAGTACACCGTGGCTATTCCGTGTCTTAAGTCATGGCAAGTAAAAACGCGTACGTCGGGGTTAAATGGGAATAAAAAATGTCAGAAATCACACACCTACACACGACACGTACACAGACACACACACGCCACGCCATACGCAACCAAACCATCGTCAATCACAGCCACTCGTTACTCCATCAGAAAAACGCCTTCAACGCTCTCTTAAAACTGCCCGGGCCGAGATCTAAAAAGGCAGTAGGCAGCTGGTTTAAAAGCGCGGTCGCTTGGTACGAAAAGGCACCGCAGTGCGCGTTGCCGGTGGCCGGAGGCGACGATCATTCCTGGTTGTGCGGTCACCACTGGCCCGCGACCCCGCGTTCGTGGTGAACAGCGAGGCGAGGACGGTCGGCTCACCGCGCGCAATGGCACCGCGCGCGACAGTCACCGCTGCGACCCGGTACATATCAGAGGCCGATGTGAGGTGCAGGTCATCCCGCGCGCGAGACACGTGGTCGTACTTTTTGAGGCCGGTAATAACTCTTGTAGCGAAGTTAATAATTTTGAGAAGTTTGATGCCATTGTCGGCAGAACCGTTTCCGTAAACGGATATGCAGTATCTCACGCGCGAGATGACCAGCCCCTCAACAATAGTTTTTAGTGCGTGCTGCGGGAGGAAATGTCTCAAGTGGCGGAGACCGATCAGGAGGCCGGTACAGTGGCGAACCACGTCACTGACGTGTGCGTCCCAACTCAAGTGACGGTCAAACAGCACGCCTAAGTTTTTAACTGTCCGGCTCTCCTGGACGGTCCCGCCACCGACCCGTACGCTGACAGGGGGGAGGTTACGGGTGTTCTGACGGGTGCCGAGGAGGAGGATTTCAGTTTTGGATGCGTTGAGTTTTAAACCATGGGCATGGAACCAAGCAGACAAAGCGGAAAGGGTAGATTCCATGCGTTGGATGAGGTCAGGAAGATTGGCTTTGACATCGGACATCAGGATTTGGGTGTCGTCAGCGTACTGGGTCACATGGGCGTCCGGCGCGTGTAGGCTGAGGTCGTTGGAGAAGATGGTGAATAGGAGAGGACCAAGGACGGATCCCTGGAACACTCCCGTGGTGATAGGAAGAGAGTTCGAGACCACTCTGGCGCCGGAAGAAGAGGAGATAGAGACTGACTGGGTGTGACCATGGAGATACGAAGAAAACCAGGATGTGTCAATGTTATATTGCTGGAGTTTGCTAAGGAGCAGAGTGTGCGGGATAGCGTCAAAACATTTGCTAAGATCTAAGAGGCATAGGAGGGATAGGTGACTACGGTCCATGTTGGAAAAAATCCTGTTAGTAACAGATAGCAGAGCGGTCTCGGTTGAATGGTGGGGGCGGAAGCCGTGTTGGGATGAGGATAGGAGGTGATTGTCGGACATGTAGGCATACAGCTGTCGCTGCACCACACGTTCGACAATCTTGGCTATGACAGGAACTATGGATATAGGGTGGTAATTGGAGGGTAATGACGGGTCACCGGACTTGAAAATAGGATGCACCAGGGAGTGTTTCCATGAATCAGGGATGTCACATCTGGTAAGACATGAGTTAATGATGTGGAGAAGGACGGGGCCAATGGCGTCAAAACATAGGATTAGGATCCGGATACAAATTCCGTCAGGCCCACACACACCGGAACGCTTCATGGAGAACATTACCTCCCGCAGGCCGGCCAGCGTGGTGCCGTGCACGCGGAAACCACAGGCGCCCACACGCGGTAGGCGACACGGGACCGCGGGCGGGAGCCCCAGGCTGGCCAGCTCATCAGCGATTCGAGAACCGACACCAACAAAGTACGCGTTAATCTCGTCAGGTGTAGCGGCAGGAATACAGGGGGCGCTGCTACGCTTACCGGCGATAATTGGGCGGATTACACGGTACAGTGAGCTGCTGCCATGCTCACGGAGTTTTTTTTTTAGAAATTTTGTCCGAATGGATGAATGGGTGGCTATGGGCCCGGGTGCCCCGCTAAGCAGTGCTTGTTGCGAATGACACCACGGACCCACCACCCCGCCTTGCCCGCGCCCGGTTCACCGGTGATAATTTGGATCGAAAGTTTAACGTGCCGCAGGTAGATGGCGGCACGGTCCTCCCGGGTCTAGCGTGGCCCTCTCTCGCCAGTTGCCAGCTGGCTGAATATAGGAACGCGGGTCAAACAACGTGGAGCTTCCCGGCCGCGAACTCCCTGCCACCGAGTTAGGAGACGGACGCCATATCCACTAGGCCACGGGGAGGACAAGTTTACCCTCAATGTCCGCCCTACAGTCACGCCGGATCGCCGACCTGACCCTCCTATCTAGTTCGCGAAAGGTCGGCGATCTCCCCTCGCGGCGCAGCACACCCCTCCGCTGTGACATGAGATTAAGAGTCGCCGCGGTGACAGCCGGCGCAGTGGGGTTCCGGATGGTAGCGACTCTAGTCGGAGCATGCCTATCTAAAACAGATAACAAACGATCCGTAAAGTAAGACCACATAAAAGAAACCGGATGACTGCTAAAAACGCATGACCAGTCTACGTTGTACAAATCACTAAACAATGCATCACGTGAAATACGTTTGAGCGGCCTCAAACGCAAACGAGACGGTTTTCTTACACGTTTAGGCAAAGATAAAAGCAAGCGGACGACATGATGAGGGCTAAAAGAGCACCTTGATACGGCTAAACGTCCAACGAGGTGTTCACAGTTGCAAATCACTACGTCT